CTCCTGATAAGAGCGCTGATTGGCTGCCCACGACCCCCCCCCCCCCGCCCCCGCTTCCCTGTCTGTGTGTGAAGTCTGCAGAGGTTGATGTGCGCAGTCAGAACAGCGAGGGCAGCTGTTCCCCCTGAAGCCAGAGCAGCTGTGCCAGGAATGTAAGAGGATGCCTCCGCTGCTCAGTTCACCGAGCTTGGACAGAGCTCAGAAGTGAGCAAGAGCACCGGTGGACTCGGAGCGCTGTGCTGGCCACGCCCCCTCCACAGGCAAGGTCGTCCTGAGTGGTGCCGCCACCTCCAGGCCTGCTTGATGATTTGCCATCTATGCACACGTAAAATTTGTTTTTAAGCTTTTTATAAAAACTATAAAAATGAAAAGTATTTTTTTATTGAACATGTTTTTAAGATTTATTCATGTTGATACATGTAGCTCTAGCCCCTTCATTTGAGCCCCTGTATAATATTCGGATTATGAAAACACCACAACTTCTGTATCTGTTGTCTTGTGATCTAAAGATTCACTAATTTTTTTTGTTTTGGAAAATATAGCAGTTTTTCATTTAAATTTTGTGTGTGTGTGTGTGTGAGGAAGACCAGCCCTGAGCTAACATCTATTGCCAATCCTCCTCCTTTTTTTTCCCCTTTTTCTCCCCAAAGCCCCAGTAGATAGTTGTATGTCATAGCTGCACATCCTTCTAGTTGCTGTATGTGGGACGCGGCCTCAGCAGGGCCAGAGAAGTGGTGCGTCGGTGCGTGCCTGGGATCCGAACTCGGGCTGCCAGCAGCGGAGGGCGCGCACTTAACCGCTAAGCCACGGGGCCGGCCCCTAAAATGTTATGTTAATAAGTAATGGGTTTGTTATTTTCTAATTAGTTAAATATTTTTAAATTTTTCATTTTAATTTCTAATGTGGTAAATATCAATAGATGAAACCCACATACACAAAACCTCTATGGGTCCTTGATAATTTCTGAGAGTCTACAGGGTTCCAAAGACCAGAGGTGAGGACGGTGGACATGAAGCACTGCTGTAAGCCATGACAGTGTCACCAGAGCCTGGCCCACCACACCGTACCTGATCTGAGAAACCAGGAGAGAAAACAGGGAGAAAATCCAATCTGGCTTCCCTGAGGAGGGGCCAGCAGGCAGGTGACATTCGTTCAGAGTCATGAAAAGTTCACAAGCTGCCCCCAGAGTCCACGGGGAAACCAACTTTCCAGAACCTGAAGACAGCACTTCCCTTCCAGGCAGCGACCTTGCAGGGGCCCTAAACTGAGCATTTCCTCTCCTTAAGCCAGGGGAGCCTGTGTCCTGGCATGGCTCAAAAAAAGCTTTATACTTTCAATACTTTCTGAGAAAGTACTTCTGTGAAAAATCTACAATAAGGAAACAAGCTACAGGTAGACGGGCATCATGGAGGCCACTCTGCATACCCACCCCCAGCTGGTGGGCTGCATGGATTCCAAATGTGCTGCACGTGCTGCGACAGGGCGGCTGGGGGAGGACACCGCCAGCCCTCACTGCCTGGTGTGCATCTGACGACCACGCGCCCAGCAGAAAAAGCCAATCCAGCAGCTCGTCCTGAGCCTCGAGGCCTCAGTGAAAAGCAGGGCATGCAGTGATTGCGGGGCCTGAAGAGTTCAGAGTCAACAAGAAAGTGGGCGCAACAAGAAAGTGGGCAAAGATGTGCCCCGACTTTCACCAAAGAGGTATACAGATGGCGAGACACACGGGAAAAGATGGTCCACATCACTATTCATAAAGGAAGTGCAAATGAAAACACACCCATTAGAATGGTTAAAAAAAGAACACCTGACAATACCAAATGCTGGGGCGTCCATAGGGTTGAGAACACAAAATGGCGCAGCCATCTGAGAAAACGGTTTGGCAGGTTGCTTTTGTTGTTGTTGTTGTTTTCCTTCTTTTCTTTAATAACAGACTTTCTTTTTTAGAGCAATTTTAGGTTCACACCAAAACTGAGCAGAAAGTACAGAGAGTTCCCACATACCCCCTCCACACACCAACACCACACAACACCAATTGTGCATTTGTTACAATCCATGAACTACATGGACACATATCACCCAGAGTCCACAGTTTACCTTAGGGTTCTCTCCTGGTGTGAGACATTCTAAGGGTTAGACAAATGCCTGATAACACGGATCCACCATTAGAGCATTAGACAGAGTAGTTTCACTGCCCTAAAAATCCTCTGAGCTCCGCCTATTCATCCCTCCCTCTTCCTTAATCTCTGGCAACCACTGATAATTGTTTTTCCATTTTTTTTTATTGTGGTAAAATACACATAATATTTACCACCTTAATCATTTTTTAAGTGTAGAGTTCAGTGGTAGTAAATTCATAATGTTGTGAAACCATCACCACCATCCATCTTCAGACTTTTTATTATCCTCATTACACACCAACTCCCCACCTCCTCCCCTAGCCCCAGCACCCACCATTCTACCTTCTGTCTCTATGAATCTGACTCCTCTAGGGACCTCATGTAAGTGGAGTCATAAAGTATTTCTCCTTTTGTGACTGGTTTATTTCACTGAGTATAATGTCTTCAAGGTTCATTCATGTTGTAGCAGGTGTCAGGATTTCCTTCCTCTTTAAGGCTGAATAATATTCCATTGTATGGATGGATCACATTTTGCTTATCCATTCCTCTGTCAATGGACACTTGGGGTGCTTCCATGATTCAGCTATTGTGAATAGTGCTGCTGTGAACATGTATGTACAAATATTCCTCTGAGACCCTGCTTTCATTTGGGTAAATACCCAGAAATGGAATTGCTAGATCATACGGTAATTCTATTTTTAATTTTTTGAAGAGATGCCATACTGTTTTCCACAGCCACTGTACCATTTTACATTCCCACCAACAGTGTACAAGGGTTCCAATTTCTCTACATCCTCACCAACACTTGTTATTTTCTGTTTTTTTGATAGGAGCCTTCCTAATGGGTGTGAGGTGGTGTCTCACTGTATCTTTGATTTGCATTTCCCTGATGATCAGTGATGTTGAGCATCTTTTCATCAGTGATGTGCTTATTGGCCATTTGTTTTTCTTCTTTGGATAAATGTCTATTCAAATCCTTTGCCTATTTTTTTAATCAGGTTGCTTGTGTGTGTGTGTGTGTGTGTGTGTTTAGTGAGGAAGATGGGCCCTGAGCTAACATCTGTGCCAATCTTCCTCTATTTTGTATGTGAGTTACCACCACAGCATGGCTTGATGAGTAGTGTGGGTCCACGCCCAGGATCTGAACCTGCAAACCCCGGGCAGCTGAAGCAGAGTGCACAAACTTAACCACTACACCACCGAGCCAGCCCAGGTTGCTTGTTTTTTGTTGTTTAGTTTTACGACTTCTCTATATATTCTGGATATTAATCTCATATCAGATATATGATTTGCAAATATATTCTTCCATTCCATGGGTTGCCTTTTTACTGATGATAGTGTCTGATGCATAAAATTTTAAAATTTTCATGAAGTCCAATTTGTCTGTTTTTTCTTTTGTTGCCTGTGCCTTTGGTGCATATCCAAGAAATAACTGCCAAACCCAATGTCATGAAGCTTCTGTCCTGTTTTCTTCTAAGAGTTACTGTTTTAGGTCTTACGTCTAGGTCCTGGATCCATTCTGAGTTAGTTTTGGTATGTGGTGTGAGGTAAGGGTCCAAGGTGACTCTTTTGCATGTGGGGATCCAGTTTTCCCAGCATCACTGGTCTTGGTACCCTGTCATTTGACTATATATGTTGATTGTGGTGGTGGTTACAGGACGGTATGAGTTTGTCAACTGCACACAGGGGTGAGTGTCACCGTATGTAAGGATTTAAATCCTACTTCCTCCGCTTCCTGCTGTGAAACCTTGGGCAAGCCCACCTTCCTGAACATCCTCTTCCTTCTCCGTGGGTCAGATGGATGGTAATTGTGGGGATTAGGCACCCCTGACACCAGGCCTGGGCTTTGGCAGGGCTGAGTGCTCCACAGTCCGCATCATGAGACATGGTAGGCCATGGGGGAGCCCCACATCCATGCACCTGGGCATTATGAGAGCATTAAAATCCCATGGACCATCTATCCCTCTGCCTAGGGCCACCGTGGCTGCAGGGATGACTGCCTCTCCTGAGCTCACCCTCCTGGACGCACACGGCTGCTGGACACCTAGGGCAGCAGGTAGGCAACAGGGACCCTTGAGTCAAACTAACACCGTGTTCTGGGCATTGTGTTGCTTCCAGCAACAGGCTCCAATCCCCAGAAGAGAAGAGAGACGGTCAATCAAAGCTCCCCACTGCTCAGAGAACCCAGACACCTTCATCCATCAAGTGTGCCCATCCAATGGTGTCACAAGTGTCCCTGAATCCTCCTCCTGCTATGACAAGCAGTGTTCTGGAACAACCCATTTGCTGGGCCAATCCTACAGAACACACAGTCCCAACACCTGACACCCAGGTTCGAGGACTCGTCCGGAGCTGATGTGCAGCCCTTTCCAGAGAGGCCAGAGCAGCTGAGACAATGAAAAATTGTTCAGTGCAAAACAAATGTCAACTACAACCCATTTTCAAAGAATCTTTATTCAGAGCTAGGGTTTAACATTTATCTTCACAGATTTGTACCAGTCCTCCAAAAAAATCTAAGAATGGTTGATTCTGTTTATATAGATGGATATTGACAGTTATTACATATTACATATTATAAAAATAAACCCATTTCACCAGCATGTTTTCTTGCCTGACAGTTTTGTGCTACATTGATAGGATGAACAGAGTTGCTGAAGACCAGCCAGAGATGGAGGAAGGAACCGTGTTTGTGTTGTCACCCTTGGCAGGGACCAAGCAGCCCTTTACTAAGTAAGCATCTTGCCCAGGACAGCTTGGTTCTCAAAGAGGCAAAGGAGCAGTGTATCCAGTGAAGGACCAACTGTCCAGTAAACTCATACTGAGAGACACCCGAAACGCAAACCCTTTCCCTGAAAATGCAGACGACCGTGAGGGAAACACCTGACGTGCTGCACGTCTGGCTACGTGCTCTTTTGTCAGGGGGGCCCAATCTCTGCACCCACTGTGCGCACAGGGAAGTCCTTTGGCAGACATCTGAAAGTCTGAACGTTCACATGAGAGAAACCAGTTCTTGTGAGAACTTTCTATCGACTGAACTCTCCTCTGGGTCCCATTGTTCCATGCAGGACAAAACTCTTTCCCCGCCCACCCCTCCTCTTCCAACCAACAGGACAAGGGCTACTGGTGCTTCTGAATTTTGGAAGCTTATCAGCATTTTTAACTGTCTTCATTTCATTGTTCCTCATGGATACGTGAGACTTGTAAAACTTGTAAATCACCATCTCTGTTGGGGAGCACTTTTTCCCAAAGAGCAGGTGTCCTGAGAGGAAGCTTCTTGTTAGGACTGCCTGGAAGGCTGGCTGGCTCGCAGAGAGCCTCCCTGTGTCTCTCCTGTCCTGTTCTGATTTCCTGACCCCGCGTTCCCACAAGGACCCAGCAAGCACATGGCATGTCCCCCGCGTTCGCGGTAAGCGCCTCCTCAGTTGGACAGCTCCAAGCTCATTTGAACAAGTGGCCAGTGGCATGGTCCTGGGCCTGCCTGGGGCTCCCACAGGCCCTCAGGGATGCACCTGGTACTTCTCCAAGTGCTGGGCCCGCTGGGTCTGACCTTCACTTCCCCGCCCCAGAATGTGTGTCTGGCAGATCCGTAGGCTGATGCTTCCACAAGCACAAGCGTCATGAGCCATGGGGAGAGAGTCTGAAAGGGAGATGGTGGCCAAGACCATCAGAGCTGCTCCTCAGGGAGGCCCTGCCTGAGGCCACTTCGGCTTTCCACTTTGTCATGAAGGGCCAGGATAACACACGGTCCCTTCCCTGCTGAGAGCACGTGTCTATGAAGACGGAGAGGTCCCTTTTGGCACTTTCATTTCCTTTACACCCCTTACAGCGACAAGCAGTACTTCGGAGGGTTCTGGCTCTTGTAGCAGCCTGAAGTGGCAGAATGCTGGATGCTCAGGAGGGACCAGGACCTGCTCCTCCACCACCTTCAGTGACCGGGAACCACACCCAAGCGAGAAGCTGCGGGTGCTGGGAGTGCCTTGATCCTTGACCCCACCTGGGAGAGCAGCGGCACAGGACAGACCTGTGCCGGCCCAGCGACTCCGATACGACCATCCGCCCCCAAAACCAGGCGGCCTATTAAATCTAGCCAGCACTAGTGTGCCCCATACCATTAATTTATATTTCATATAAAGCATACTCTGAGATGTCGGTCTGTCTGCTCACGGCTGAATCTCCCATGGCTCTCGATAAACATGCGCTCAGTCAGCAGACACGTCACTGAGTCCTAACTTCAAAGGGTAGTAAAATCGAAATATGCAGTTCTTGGGGGAAAGTGTGCTCTACTTTCCTTCCATAAGGACATTCTAAGTTACAAGATTACTCTAAAAAGCACCTGGGTCCTTATGTCAAAGCCACAATCTCACAAACATGTGGCCACTGAGAAGCCATATTGGGCCACAGGGACCAGACACACCGGTCTGAAAAACTCGTTATTCGAGACAAACTTCTGACATCCAACAGTACCAGGGTGACAAAGTTGAGGTGGTAGCTTTCTTACATGTTAGCATTTGCAGACACAGCAGTTCATAAATTGTAAGCAAAATGAAAATCACCTTGCAGACTTGCTGTGCTGTGGCCGTCCTGCCCCTTCTCTGACTCTTGAATTGGGTGGACACGCGCAGGAACCAGCTGCGTTGTGGACAAGCCCCTGCAACCTGACCTCAGGAGAGGACTTAGAAATGCAAAGTTTGTTGGCCAATTATTGGAGGCGGCAAGAAGTAGAATAATCCCTAAGAAGTTGTTAAACTGCCCTCAACACAGTCTAAACGTGTCCTCGAGCTCCGCCTTCCACATTCCCAGCACCCTGCTTCCTGGAGAACGTGCCGTTCACAGCCCAGCCTGGTGCCCACCAGGGCCCTCTGCCAGAGGCACACACGGTCCCCTATCTAACCTTCAGATAGTTCAAAATCTCCTCCTGAATAACGTCAAAATCATCCCTTCGCCCTCAGATGCCTCTGCATGTCGCTGGGGGCTTTGTTCAGGACTCTGTCGAGTAGACACTCTTGGATTCGACAGAGATACCATGGCTTCCAGTTTCCAAAGCTAGAGTTGAGCCTTCAAAACAAGTATTCATTTTTAAAAGTGTTTTAATTACAAACGTGATTTTGAAGCCTGGACACACAATGACGACGCTCTCATTGAGAACCCACCACTCCATACAATTGTGTGTGGTGTGCGTGTGTGCACGTGTGTATGCATGTGTATGCATGTGTGTGCACACGCAGCAGACTGTCTTCGATTCAAAGGGCTCTACCATGATCTATGGCATTGACATTTCTACAGAAAGAAAACAGTCACTTGATAAAGACATATGCTGAGATGGACATACACCTATTTTTTTGTTAAATAACTTTAATTACACCACTGTAAGTCGATTCTGCTTCTGATCCTCCCACAGTGCACACCAGATGTGATTCACTTTTATTTTAAACATGCATGCTGGGAAAAACAAAAACACAGGAGTGCTGTGGGTGCAGGTGAAATGTTTTAAGAAATGACTCTCACTTTGTGACATGGGCTTGGCCCGCAGTGACAATGAAGCCCTGGTGACAAGAGGAGCAGACATGGCCAGAGGCGGAGCTCCCTTCAAGGCTGGGAGCAGCTGGGGACTTTCCGACAGCAACTCTGTTTCTGGCCACCCTAGGTTGTCATGGTAATGCTTCATTTTGGACAGAATACAATTGGTGATTAATGCATATCTTGCTCTTCAGCAAAACACTATTCAAGTAGTTTTAACTTAAATATTTTAAAAGTAATCTTTACATTATTGGAGAACGGTAAAAAATACAGAATCTGACAACTTTTCATTTCATTCAATCTGATGCTTTGAGAATCTTCACTTTTGTATTACCATAATTTAGAGAGCAATTCCTGGCCTGTATAAAGCTCTTTGCAGGACTATTTTCAAGATCCATCTTTTCCTGTTATTGGTCCAAATTTAAAATACTTTCAGACGCCCTTTGCCACTGTATCTAAGGAGGAGTACAGACCCTTCCTGTTACTTCCTTTAGTTATAAGTTTTGTAATTAAGAGGGTGCTATGAGCTAAACAAGCCCAACTAATTTCCGTCACATAAAAGGGAACTGCAAAGAATTTTCCTTTTCAAACCTTAATGAAACATGATGATCCAAGTGAAGCTTTATGAAGAGACTGCAACAGTAGTAAAATGTTTGGCAATCAAAAGTTAATTAGAATTAAGTCCTCGACCAGGGATGGTGCCGTCTCCATGAACACGGTCCTTAGAAAAGCTGGTTTCTGCCGAGACCGAAGCTCTGAGTAGCCACTTGACGGAGTCCAGCCTCTCGGTCTCCGGGTCCCGGGGCCACACCGGTCCCTCAGTAGATATCTGGGCAGCTTGAGTAGTCCCGCTCAAAGTAGCCCCCCGTGTACAACCAGTCGGGGGTCCCAGTGTAGGGGTTACTGCCCTGGTGAAACCACCTGTAACACAGAGGAGGGTCAGGGGCACTGGACACAGACACAGCACAGCCGTCATCCTTCCCTTGGCTCAGGACGTGTCCCTCGCACCAGGCAGCATCACACGTGTTTTGAAAATGCAGCTCAGGGTACACTTCAACTGAGAACTATTAATCACATTTCACTCAAATGCTCCCACTTACAAATACCCACCCAGGTCAGCTTCACTGGCCAACAAAACCTCAAGGATTTAACAGAAAACACACTGGGCTGTCACCTGAGACCAGTCACTGCATCCTGAACACCTGTGCCTTTCAAGGTCAGGACAGTCACAGTGCTCACATTTTCTTTCCTTTAAAGCAGACCAGGCTTGCTTATTAGTTTAACTGGGGAAGAGGGGAGAGACTATGGGCAAAGAGAAGCTAACGGTGGCTTCCAACTTCAGCACATTTCAGGCACTGGTCCCAGTAAGCCTAAGGCGGTCCCTGCCCGCTGGTTCCCCCCTGGGTCCCAGGAACTCCCAGAGTGCCTGCACCACCTGCGGCTTCACTCTGCACAGTGACAGAAGCATTCCTGTTTTATGACATGAAACAACTAAGGACGCTTGCAATTTACCATGGAGTGTATTTGGGGGGACTCGAAGTAATTATCTTGTCAGAACATATTATTATTTTCAGAGTATATTTTTTAAATTGACTACTTTAAAAAAAAAGGAAGGTTAACTATTTTCAAACTGTCTTTTTCTGGAATAAAGCAAATTCTAAATATCACACAATTAAAAGCATAATATTAAATGAAACTGGAAGCCCAAGCATCAAGAATGAGTTTTAAAACATCAGTCACATAAAAGTCATGAGAGGTGACTGTTACTAGGCCTTGGAAACAATTACCATAAACTATCTAGCTTGATAGGAAAAATATGCTGATTAAACAGCTCAAAACCACCCAAACAGTATGTAAGACTAAAAATTTAACTTTTATATATATTTTTTAAAATTATAGTATAGCTTAAGTATTACAGTACCTGACTCCTTATTAAACGTATTATTTTCACATTATGATACTGAAGAACAAACGACTAATTTAAAAGACATTTTAGCAAGAAAACAGGACTAGAGCCTCACAGCTTGTGTCCTCTAACCCCTCGATTTTGTTGGGTCTGGGTAAAGGCGTGTGCAAACACACGTGCAGGCACCCCTATCTCACACTGCCACGGCCCCCGGTGCTCACGACGAGCCCTCTCACGGGGTATGGGGAGGACTGGCTGGGCCGTTCTCCTCCCACGTGGTGTGGCCATAGCTCTCAGGCCCACTGTGTCACGTGGAGTGTGACCGGGAGAAGAGCATGCCATGCACGCAGCAGCGTAGCACCTCAGGGTGGCTCCTAAACCCACCCTGTTTCGTACACAGCATTTCCCTTCTGAGAGATTATTTCCTTCAGTTAGCGGCTTGGTTCTGGCTACACCATAGGTGGGTGTGTGTGGTCCCTCCTCACTGTCCCCAGGTGTGTGTGGTCCCTCCTCACTGTCCTCCAGGTGTGTGTGTGGCCCTCCTCACTGTCCTCCAGGTGTGTGTGTGGCCCTTCTCACTGTCCCCAGGTGTGTGTGATCCCTCCTCACTGTCCTCCAGGTGTGTGTGTGGCCCTACTCACTGTCCCCAGGTGTGTGTGGTCCCTCCTCACTGTCCCCAGGTGTGTGTGTGGCCCTCCTCACTGTCCTCCAGGTGTGTGTGTGGCCCTCCTCACCGTCCTCCAAGTGTGTGTGATTCCTTC